CAGTGGAATACTACATCACTATAAAAAAGAAAGAACTTTTACCATTTGCAACAGCATGGATGGGACTGGAGAGCATTATGCTAAGCGAAATAGAGAAAGATAAATATCATATGATCTCACTCATTTATGGAATATAATGGACAACATAAACTGATGAACAAAAACAGATCCAGAGACAGAGAAGCATTGATCAGACCATCAAACCTCAGTGGGGTTGGGGAGAGATCAACCAAGGACTTGTATGCATGCATATAAGCATAACCAATGGACACAGACACTAGGGGTGTGTGAGGGCATGAATTAGGGGGGGCAGGTCAATGAGGAGAGGGGGTAAGGACACATATGAAGTATCTTAATCAATAAGAAAAAGAAAGTAAATATAAAAAAATAAATGTCTTCACACCCTTCTTTCCCATTTATTTTTTGCTAGGTTGTTTAATGGGGATACTTTTGCTTGCAACAAAAAGAGTCCTGATTAAGAACATAGTACTCATGTTAATAATATACAATACAATGGCCCATATTTCCTCAAGTTGTAGTACCATGATTTCTTTCTCTATTCTAACATTGAATTTTAAAGTGATTTGAAATATTTTTCCATTATAAATGCAGTGTTCTTTTTCATTGCCTTCTGAATGACTTCTAGCAAATTTTCCATTAGTCTCCTCAAACATGGGCCCTTGCTTTGAATTCTGAACTACAAGATTTTAAATTGAGTGATTTACCACCTAATTTAAGGCCATTCGGTTTTGCTTTATCCCTTTTGCTTTTTTACTTCCATTATAGTCATTCCATCTGTGATTATACAAAATGTTGTGGCACCATTTGCTCCAGCTGCATGGATACATTTGAATGCATTAGTGTGATTTAGGAAATTTTTTATAGTATCACGAAGATTTATTTCTGACCATTGTAGGACCTGCTTTTTGATTTCCTTTAACTATTAACCTCAAAAACTATATTGTTCAATTTTAAGCCTTTAAGACTTTTATATTCACTTCAAATATAGAATTACTCTATTATCCTAATGTCTATGAAAATGCCTCTGATTCTTTCATTACTATGAAGTCTCTCTGTACCTCATTTGCCTGCATAAATTAACTTCTCCATATTTTAAGATCTAGTTCAAATGTTATTGTTTTCTCTGTGATTCCTTTTATCACTTTGCTCACAATTTGTTTTCTCCTCTCATTGCACTTAGTAAATCTCACTTGTATCTGTGAGAAGTGATGCAGTAATGGGGGTGATGTCACATCAGGGTTCTGTGATAGTCATAGAATTGCCTTGCAGAGAATCATAGGTAGCAATATACTACAAAACATTTCATCTACAGATGAAAGCGTAAATTGTGATAGCTAAAGATTATAAAAAAGTCACATGTTCATCAGTAGAGGGTTAGTCATAAAATGAAATGTTATGCAACTGTAAAAAAGAAGAAATAGCCCAAACTGGTTTGGCTCAATGCATAGAACGTCGGCCTGTGGACTGAAAGGTCCCAAGTTCGATTTCGGTCAAGGGCATGTACCTTGGTTGCGGGCTCATCCCCAGTGGGGAATGTGCAGGAGGCAGCTGATCCATCTTTCTCTCTCATCGATGTTTCTGGCTCTCTATCCCTCTCTCTTCTGCTCTATAAAAATCAATAAAATATATTTAAAAAATAAAAATAAACTTTGACTTGCATATGTGCAATACATACATATAAAGCTCTTTCTGGTGCCAATTGCACGAATGTGTTTATATCTGTCATCGTCGATCATGAGTTTGGTTGACACTTCTATTATAGAGAAAGGGCGAATAGTGACATTAAAATATTGCTTCTAATTAATTTCCTTTCAATGTGCATGAATTCATGCACTGGGCCACTAATTTCATTATAAAATATAATAATGAGGTCATGACATTTTTAAGGTATATGTGGCAGGTGTATGCCAGGAACTAATTCTAGCATATAATAATTATAAGAGTTTCACCAAAAGGTTGGTGAAGCTTGGGACTTTGAAAATTAATTTTCAAATGGTGTATATCGTCTTAAAAAACTTGAAGTATGAAAATCTGAAAATGCTTGGTAAATTAAAATATTATTGTACATAAATTCAATTACAGAAGAGTTCTTCATGTTCCAAAATAATTAATCATGCAGTTTCTTTAAATAGGGGGGCATGGCAACTCATGTTCATTTGGCAAAATAAACTTTGTAGTCTATTTGGAAAAAAACGGTCCTTTTGTAATGCATTGCAAAGCTGCCAGAGAAATATGCATCAGAGAGTGACCCATAACTACCTAAACAGATTATCAGACCAATCAATTCTGTAACATTGGGGTGGGGATCAGGAGGAGGTGTCATAATAGATTAGGTGGTCAGGGAAGACTTCTCTGAATAGGTGATATTTGCTTTAACAGATGAATAGAATAAAGTCAGAATAAAGTTGAAGGAACCAGCCTTTCGAACACCCTTTGGAAGAATGTTGCTGGCAGAGAGCTGAGGAAGTAAGGTCTTTCAAGTCAGAACAAACTTGGTAGATTACAAGGAACAGAAAAGCCAGACTTTTTGGAGTATAGTAAACTAGGGACAATGAATTCAAGAGATGTAAAGGAGGGGCGGATCAATCAGGACCATGGTAAGTCTAAGTGTGTATAAATTAGTTAACTTGGAGGTTCAAACTTTTAGAGTTTAACAAATGGCCTGGGGTGGGGGTGGAGGGGCAGGGGTAGGCTAGAAGAGGTCAGTTGGTGAAAAAAGGGACATATGTAATACTTTCAACCATAAATATTTTTTTTAAAAAAAGAGCTTAGCAAATGGAAACTAATAGTTATTAGAGATCATATTATTGCTTATTTATAATTCAAATTTAAATACTAAAACAATAGAGTAGCTTTATTCCTTGTAATGATAAACTCAAATGATGAACACTTAGAAAATACTTGTGAAATTCGAAGCGCCTGTCTTCACTAATCTGTAAATTCTAAATTCTATTAAAAACCATAAGAAGCCCTAGCTGGTTTGGCTCAGTGGCTAGAGCATCAGCCTGCAGACTGAAGGGTCCCAGGTTTGATTCCAGTCAAGGGCACATGCCTGGATTGCAGTCTTGATCCCCATTAGGGGACATGCAGGAGGCAGCCAATCAGTGATTCTCTCTCATCATTGATGGTTCTATCTCTCCTTCCCTTTCTCTTCCTCTCTAAAACCAATAAAGATATATTTAAAAGTAAAACTATAAGAAGAGTCATTTTCTGATTATAAAGACTGCTAGAACTATTTATATAGAACTAGAGGCCCGGTGCAAGAAATTCGTGTACTAGGGGGAGAGGGTCCCTCAGTCCAGCCTGTGCCCTCTCACAGTCTGGGAGCCCTTGGGGGATATCCAACTGATGGCTTAGGCCTGCTCCCCACAGGCCTTCAGTCGATATCCTTAGCACTGCAGTGGAGTCTGGAGAGGCTACTGTCACCACCATTGTGCTCACCAGCTGTGAGCCTGCCTCAGGGATTCTGGCTGAGTGGCACTCCCCCTGTGGGAGCACACTGACCACCAGGGGGCAGCTCCTGCATTGAGCGTCTACTCCCTGGTGGTCAGTGCACATCGTCCTTGGGCCAAAACCAGCACTTTGACATCCTCTGAGAGGTCCCAGATAGTGAGAATGTAGGCCAGGCAGAGGGACCCCTCCTGTACATTATTGGGGCCAGGGAGGGACATGGGAAGTAGGCCAGATGGGGAGGGACCATGGGAGGACTCCAGGGAGTAGCTGGCCCACCTTGCTCAGTCCTGATTGGCTGGACCCCTGCAGCTCTCTCTCTCACCTCCCTAACACGCCAAAATTTTATAATTTTTTTTCACTTAGGTTTCATACATTTCTAAGGCTTATTTGTTGCTAGTGTGGAATAGGATCTTTTTAAAATTACATATTTTAGTTAGATATTATCAGTGTGCAAGAGTATTATTGGATTTTGAATCTGGCCATTCTGCTGAATCATTTTAAAGGTCTAATAATTTTCTCTAAGATTGTCCAGCAAGACAATCATATCTATAAATGTTATAATCTCTTTCTTCTTTTTCACTACTTATTTTTCTAGTCCTATTGCATTAACTGGAATCTATAAAACAGCGTTAAATGGTAACGGTGTTAATAGGCATATTTGTTCTTTTTCTGACTTTAGTTGGAATGCCTTTAGTGTCTTTACTATTAAATATGACGTGTGTTTTACTTTATCTCTTTTGTGGAGGTATTTTAACATTATCTCTCTTTACATATGCATGAAAACAGTAAGATTATTTTCTTCTTCTAGTTTACTATTTATTTAAATCAGAAAATTGATGAAGTGTTATTTATTTCCAATATATATTAATATATAATTATATAACAAGTATAATACATTTCTTAATGTTACAAATTCTCTTATATGATTAAAAAAAACAACTACTGGGTAAGTTTTAGGTTTGCATTTAATACTTGTTTAGCATTTTATTTAGAAATTTATATAGCCCTTTTTTTTTGTATTAAAAAATTCAGGTGTGGATGTCAGTAATGCTCATCTTACAAAATGCAGCGGGGAGAAAGGTTTCCTTCAACTGAGGCCTATAGGTCATGGTTCCCTGGGGTGGTGGCTGTGAAAGCAGAGCTCCCCCGCTGGCTGGAGGGAGAGAAGAAACCAGCTTACATAGGAACAGAGATCGTGACGTGCCTAGGAAAGTTGATCTGGTGTGTGAATGCTGTTTCAGGATAAATCTGAGAGCTACCGGTTTCCAGCAGGAGCCACGCGGGTCTGGGAACAAAGTTTAAAGGATCCAAATGGGCAGAACGGGAACCTCTCTTCTTCCAGGGAACTTGAAAAGCCTGGAAACCAGCCTCGGGCACCGCCGGGCTTGGAGCCTCTCGGGCACCGCAAAAACCCGGAGAAGGAAAGTCCAGGCCGGCGCCGGAGCGGCCGCGATGGGCTCGGGGACGGCTCGCACACTGGGCATGCGCAGGGGGTGGACCGCCGGGCCGGCTCCGGGAGCCGTGACGAGTCCGGAAGCGCCTGCGCGCGCCCCTCCGCCGGAGAAGGAGTTCGGTTCCGTGTCCCGCGGCTCGGCGTCCGTCCCGCGGACAGCTGCTGTGCGGAGAGGAACCCCGAGCGGGGCCGACCCGACCCGACCCGACCCGACCCCGCCGGCCCCCAGCGATGTCCAGCAACAGCTTCGCTTACAATGAGAACTCCGGGGGAGGGGAGGCCACGGAGCTGGGGCAGGACGCGACCTCAGCCATTTCCAACTCCGGCGCCCTGGGCCTCTTCAGCAGCGACCTGAAGAAGTGAGGAGCCGGGTGTGGGGTGCGGGATGGCGCGGGGCGGTCGGGGCCCCGGAGGAGCGGGCGCGGGGCTCCGGGGACAGGAGCGGGGCGGTCCCGGGACCCACGGGGCGGAGGTAACGTTTCCTCCGGAGGGTGGGAGGGAGGGAGGGAGGGAGGGAGGGCGGGGCGGAGTGAGCTGGATGTCCGGGGAGTTGCTGGGGAGAGAGTTTGGAGGGGTCTCCAGTTATGTCCAAACTTCGGTGAAAGAAGAACCTTTTTGGAGAGCCTAAGTCCCATCCCCAAGGACTGTGCGTTGGTCTGGGACACAGACATTTGAATAAACATTTCTAAGCAATTTAATGTTTGATCCGATTTGGAGAAATTCTCCTATTGGGGTGTTTGGGAGGTGAGAGGGGGAGCTGGGGGTGGGAGAGCTGCTTGTGGGAAACTGTTGGGAGTGTCGGAGCCAGGTGTTCGGGCGCTTTGGGAAGGGGCAAGCCGGTTGAGTGCAAGCATTGATGTTCATGGACAATATCCTTTGCACTACAGACCGCCCTCCGGTCGCAAACAATAATAAGCATATGGTTAGAGAGTATTTAGTGTTACTATGAACAAAGCTAAAATTTTACAAATGAATGATGTGAGTTTTAAAAGTGAACACTAAACAATATACACTTTGTTTTTTAAAAAGTTAAGGCGAAATATTTTAAGTACCACCGGAAAAATGGTTTCCAAATGATTTTATTTGGAAAACCTAAAGAATCATAGTAACTTTATATTTTATTGTAATCATTTTTACATTTTTCTTATTTAAAAAAATATATATTTTGATTTTTTTTTAACAGAGAGGAAGGGAGAGCGATAGAAAGTTAGAAACATTGGTCGATGATGTGCCCGCAACCAAGGTACATGCCCTTGACCGGAATCGAACCTGGGACCCTTCAGTCCCCAGGCCGATGCTCTATCCACTGAGCCAAACCGGATTCAGCACATTTTTCTCATTTTTAATCTGTCAGTACTACACTATGGTCACAGAATAGGTTGTCACTGGATTCATGTTAAATTAGGGTAAAGTACCTGTGCTCCTGACTTTGGAGGTGCCAATGCCTATAATTAAATTTAAATTTAAATTTTACTAATTAGGTAGGGCAATGCTATTAGTTGAAATTTGGATTAAATTTTGACTATTAAACTGATTGAAATCTTATTATATACAGCATATAGAAATATGTTTTTGTTTTGTTTCATCCTTATTCTCAGGTTAGAAAAGTTTAACAGTAAGGTAACTTAATTTCTTTTCGTTCTGTGCACTTAGATGATGGATTGTTCTAACAAGGAGCTTGCTGCAGCTCTACAACTCTATTAGCAAAATGTTTCAGCTGTTGAATTAATCCATAAGTCTGCATCAGCTTGTTTTGAATGTGATTCTGGTTTGTGAATATCTAAGATGTTTTCCTCTTAGAGCCTCTGATACGCTATTTTGTCAGATTTTTGGGGAAAAATGTATGACTTTGACTATGACCAGTTGAGGTGACTAACAGGTTGAATTAAAATAAGAATAGCTAAAATTTATCCATAGCTTATACATTTGTACCTAATACTTTACCTTTATTATTTCATTCAGTGTGCCTAACAATCCTATTGCTTGGTACCAGATACTTCTTTTATCCCACTTTGCCATTTAGGAAATTGAACACAAGTGATTAATTTGCCCAAGATATTTCCTCCCTCCCTCTTTCCCTCCCCCACCTCCCTCCCTCTCTCTCTCTCTCTCTCTCTCTCTCTCTCTCTCACACACACACACACACACACACACACACACACACACAAACACTGCACTGACTGAATTTGCACCTAGACTCTAGGATATGCTACTTTCTCAGCAGTTGGATATGCTATTCTATTTGCTGAAATTTATAGTACTTTTATTAGAGAAGCCTTACAACTCATTAAAAGTTGAAGATTTTGAGTAGCTGTAGACAGTGTGACCTTGAAGCTTTGAGGAATTAGAAACATTTTGGCCAATGAATTGCAACATAATGGGGTTGTAGAAACAAGGAGACTTCTGTTCTGGATATGGTTACTTAATCTTCTTGGAGCCTATATTCTCTCATAAAATGGTGATATTTCTTGCTTAGGAAAAACAAGCCAAATGACAAAATTTATGTGAAAAATGTAAAAGCTTACCCTGTTCCTCTTCTCTAATTTTTGATGATTTAGTCTGAAATTATTTCAGATTCACAAAAAAATGATGATCCTTTACTGACCATTTCCAAGATGCCTAATCAGGTATAATACAGACAGCTTCCTTCTATGCAGACTCAACAGTTTTTGAAAATGTGCTACATTTCTCTCTCTTTCTCTCTGTACACGTGCAGACACACATTCACATGTTTTCTGAGCCATAAGAGACTAGGTTGTATACTTCATGTCCCTTTACCTTAGTGTGTATTTTTTAAGAATGAAGATACTTCCTTATACAACCACAGTCCTGTTATATTCAGTATATTTAGCATCAGTACAGTCTACAATCTATAATCCAGCATTGTCATTTGTTGCAAAAAATAACTTTTTATTTTAGCATTTTTTCCTTCTAGTAAAGGATCCTGTCCAGGATCACGTGTTTCATTTAGTTGTCTAATCTATGTAATCTCTTTAATCTGGTCTAGTTCCTTAGTCTTTGTTTTTCTTTTCCTTGGCATTTGAAGAATGCAAGCTAATTCTTTTATAGCTTGGTAATCAATTTGGGTTTACTGATGTTTTTTCTTCTTGTTTAGATTAATGTTATGTATCCCCAGCTATAGTACTGCTGTAGCTGATGTGGTCTTCTCAGACCATTACATCCAGGGGCATAGGATACCCATCTTCATGATAATTTGTCCCCTACCTCCATAATCTGTTTTTGGGGGGACACTTTGATATCTTGCTTCTCATTAAATTCACCACCTCTATATTTAGCAACCATTGATGGATCTCTTGAACCAGTCTTTTCATAATGGCTGCAACATGTTTCAACTCTTTGACTCCTTCCAGTATTCTGCTCTAGAGCTCTGTCCTTCAGTCCTCCACTCACCATCTCCAGGATGCCTAATCCCTTCCTAGTCACAGGATTATTGATGATTTTTGTTTTCTAAATGTAATCACATTTATTAGTCTTATTTATTCCTTTTCTCCTTTAAACAAAACTATAATTAGGGCCTAGTCCAGTTTGGCTCTGTGGATAGAGCGTAGGCCTGCAGAGGCCTGCGGACTGAAGGGTCCCAGGTTCGATTCCGGTAAAGGGCATGTACCTTGGTTGCTGGCACATCCCCAGTAGGAGGTGTGCAAGAGGCAGCTGATCAATGATTCTCTCTCATTGATGTTTCTAACTCTCTATCCCTCTCTCTTCCTCTCTGTAGAAAACCAATAAAATAAAATAAAAAAAACAAAAAAAAACCCCTATAATTAGGGAGTTTTAGGTGGTTTTATGAAAGCTCATATATATCATTTATTTGTTAACCAAGTCTGTGTATTAGATTATTGGCTTCAAGATTTTCAGTTTCTTTATTTAATATGTAAAGAATTAAATTTTTATTTATTTAAAAGAATTTAAAAAATATATTTTTTCATTGATTTCAGAGAGGAAAGGAGAAGGAGAGATAGAAACATAAATGATGAGAGAGAATCATTGATTGGCTGCCTCCTGCATACCCACAATCCAGACATGTGCCATTGGCCAAAATTGAACCTGGGACCCTTCAGTCCGCAGGCTGACGCTCTATCCACTGAGCCAAGCCAGCTAGGGCAAGAATTAAATTTTTTATTCCTTTGTTTTGAGACTGTTGTAAACTTTTATTGCTTTTAGTTTTTTTCTTAAATCATTTTTTTCTTTAACTTAAGGAAGCTCTTTTTTTTTTTTTTTTTTTTTTTTTTTTAAATCTTTACCATTTGGCTGTGTGTGCATAATTTAAAAATAATTATTTTATTTCTGGATTAAATGTTTATTTAGGAATTAATTTCTTAAAAGAGATGATAAGACCAATGACATTTTCTTAAGAATAGTAAGACTAAGTTATCTAATCTTGTTTCTTTTGAGAGCAACTCAGTGTATTGGAAAGAGCATTGGACTTAGAGTGCGAAGATCTGGATTTAAGTTAATGGTTTCCACTTGTAAGATTGCTTGTCCAAGTTCCTTGATCTCTATGATAGTACTTGCCTATTTTATGAGATTCTCATAAGATGGTTTAGTTAAAAGTGATTTCTAAAGTAGAATATTAACTAACACTATTATGAAAAATTGGTGAAAGTTTCACTGAGTTGGTGACATTTTAAGCCTTAAAGCCTGAGAAGGTTTTTGTTAGGTATAGGAAAGGGGGAGTTCTTCAGACAAAGTGTGTAGAAACCAGGAGAACTGCAAAAGAAGATGCATGTTCAGCTGAGATGCAGATTAGGGCACCAACATGTAGCATGGTAGGTAGTAATTAAAGCACAGGAATGGATAAAATCATCTAGGGAAAACTTTTCTGGTTAGAAGAAAAGGCAGTTTAGACAAGTCCCTACATTTAAGGTGTGAATGGAAGAACTAGGAAGAGAAACAGTGCTCAGAGGGGTAGGAAACCAGAGGAAGGTTAAAAAAAGAAGAAAAAAAAGAAGCTAGGAGGAAAGTTAAAGGGAAATAGTTAACTATGTTAGGAATTGCATAGTGAGGGCAAATAGAATATAGGCTGAAAAGAGGTCATTAGGTTTCACAATTAAAAGCTGACCTTAGCAACCAGTAACTTACCAGTGGAGTGCCATCTGAAACACTTGGAAAGGTAGAATTTTTAGTCCCTGCTGAAATTGAGGTGGACTTCTCATTTATTTAGATTATATGCTTTCTTGTGAGGTTATGATGAAGTCAGAACTACATCAGTGTATTTTCATTACATTAGTAAAGCCTTGCTTATTTTTTTTATTTATTGTCAATTTTATTATAACATCACCCATGAAAATTACATTTCATATAACCCTTTAACTTTAACATTAGTGTTTTTCAGTGGAGT